ATGCAAATAAATCAAGTAATATCCAGTACTCAGGAATGGGCTATGACAATATGACTAAAATGATGATTTTCCTAAATTAATTTGTAAGATTTTAGTGCTATACCAATTAAATTACCAAATGGATACAAGAGGACATAACAAAATTCATTTGGAGGAAGAAATCTAGAATTTCTACAGGAAAAAGCAGAAATAAAAGATGAAGGGAACTCAAAGTATATTACAAATTAGTAATCATCAAAACCATTTTGTATTGGCTAAAAAACAGAAAAGGAGAGGGCAGGGATTGTCTTTTCCCTCTTTCTGTATCCCAGCACTTAGCATAGCATCTGGCACATAGTTGTTACTTAATAAATATTTATTGAATGGAGAAAGATGACCCAGAAACAATCATATTAGATAATTCAGTCTTCAATAAATGCAAGAATATAAAGAAGGGGGGAAGAATACCCTATTTGATCTAATTTCTAAGGAATTTGGAATGAATTGGAATTGGAAACTGAAATTGAAAATTGGAATTGGAAAAATTAGTTCCACACCTTAAATACCACATAGCGCACTGATCTCAAAATGAATTCATACCATAAAACAAGAGAGAACAGTATTAGGTACCTTCACAACTAAAACTAAGGGAAGAATGCTTAATAAGGGATAAAAGGGATTACAAAATATAAAAATAAATAATAAAGTAAAAAAATGAACTAAATAATATATATTATATGAAATTGAAAAAGTTTTGAACCAACAGAATCAACATAACTAAGATAGGAAGCAACTGATTTGGAAAAAGTACATCTATTTTTCACAGGCTCTAATATCCAGGAAATTAAGTGTGCGTGTATTTACATATATATATATATATACACACACATATATATATGTATACACATACCGAAAAGTCAAACCTCAGTGAATAAGCGGTTAATAATATTAATACTTTTCAAAAGAAAAGTTGCAAACTATTAACAACAGTAGAAAAAAAAAGACTGCCACTAATCATTAATAATAAGGGAATGCAAATCAAAACAAATTTGAGTTTCACTTCACACCTAGCAAATTGACAAAAATGACAAAAGATGGAAATTGAAACTGCTGGAGGTATTGTCGGAAGACTGGCACATTACTATACTGTTATGAAGCTATGAATTTGTTTAATCATTCTGGAAAGCAATTTTGATCAAGAGATCTTACTGCTATGAAGAACGAAGTCAAGGATAGAAGCAAAAGTACAACATACACCAAAATAATTAGAGCAGCACTTTTACGTAGTAGCAAAGAATTTACAAAGTAGATGCTCATAGATTAGAAAATCAATTTTTAAAAATCGTTATATCCATAATAACTAAGCAGGATTCGCTGAGAAAGAGATATGGAAATATCTTTCTTCCTTCCTTCACAGCGGTTGGAAATAATGGGGATTAACCATGGTATATATTGTCAGACTTGACTGATAGGTTGGTTAGCTTTGCAAGACTTTTTTTCTCTTTCTTTTTCTTCTTGGTTATAAGGAATTGTTAGCATCCTAACAAATGAAGAAAATGAAGTTCAGAGATGTTCAATAACCTGCTCATGGCCTTATAACCAGTAAGTTTCAGATGTATAAATATAACTCAGTCAGATGTTATTTCCATAAGATAATACTAGATAATTAAGAATAAGACCTCAATATTCAAAAAGTACTTTAAAGTTTAAATTATACATTGCTTACAATATACCTATGAGGTAATGAGCTAGGTATTCACATTTCTATTTTACAGAAGAAACTGAAGCATGTCAAGGTTAAGTGACTTGCCTAGGGTCACTAAGTTAAGTGTAAGAGCAGAGAATTGAGTCCAGGTTTCCTAATCCACCTCCACCAATATTTCCATCCTTTGATGGCACATAGTATCTCTTTCACTCATTAGGCATTTAATCATAAACTGATTTATGACATTTACTACTGTGGGAGGATCAAGTGTAATAAAATAAATAGAAGCCTATCTCTATCAAAATCACTCTTTAGCTTTTAATAATTCTGAAGGTAATACATGCTACGTGGAAGCAGGAGATTACTTGTGTGTGATACAAAATATCAGTATTCTTTAACTTATCATGTGTATACATTTTGTCTCCCAAACTGACTTGCCTGATTGCAGTTAACATGAAGGCAAGTGGCCTTCAATATCTAGCATTGTGCTATGCACATAGGAGGCACTTAATAACCGTTGCCCAAATAAAAGAAGAAATAAATACTATCATTTTAATACAAAAAGCAGAACTACATATTATATCTTTCACAGGCTCTAGTATCCAAGACATGTAGGAAATTATACACATAAAGACGAAAAGTCAAAACCCGAAGAGTAAGTGGTTAATAATAGAAACACTTTTCAAATGAAAAGTTGCAGGGCAGCTAGGTGGTGCAGTGGATAGACGACTGGCCCTGAAGTCAGAAGGAGCAGAGTTCAAATGTGACCTCAGACATATAACACACACTAGCTGTGTGACTCTGGGCGAGTCACTTAACCCCAATTGCCTCATCAAAAAAAAAAGTTGCAAACTATTAAAAACAGTAAGAAAGACTGCCATCATCCATTTGCTGGCTTTTTTAAAAGATTATTTAAAAAGCCCTTGAATACAGTTGAGAGGGAAGTAGGAAAAGTGCATGTCAAAACCAAAAGCCACAAAATATCTCCCCATTATATCTGGTACACTCTTGTATCCTCATATCCTTATATATAGTTTTAGGCTCTAAAATTAAGAATGATTTAGAAAATATGAAGAAATATGACAAAACTCTTAACATGTTGAAAAAAGAACTAACTCATTCTCTTCCAGTCACCCCTAATTTTCCCTTTTTCCTAACTTGCCTATTTCTTTTGAAATCATTCTTTCAGGCCACCAAGTTTTGCAACCTCAGGTACTATCATCTTTTCAATTCCCTCATCCCTTATATTCAATAGATTTCCTAGCTTCTTTCAAATAACAGATCAGGTACCACTTCCAAAGAAAGCCCACTTTGATTCTAATCCTTCTCACATTCTCATCACAAAATAACTTGTTTATATTTTGTGTGTTTTTTTCCTATGTGCATACTGTATTACCTGATAGCATGTAAACTCCTTAAAAGGCATAAAGTGTTTCCTTTTTTATTTTTGTATTCTCAGTTTCTAGCAAAGTGCCTGGCATATATTAGGCACTTAATAAATGTTTGTTAAATGGATGAATGATTAACAGAACAAGAACACAGATGGTTCAAAGAACTGAACAATAGATCTCCATTTTTAGTTAAGTATTATTAAAGAAATTAAGAAGTATTTGAAACAGATGGAGAAAAAGGGATTGAAATAAATTCAGTGAGAAATATCTATTTCTCTCCCTCTTGCTCTATCACCATGATCACTGCTACTACATTCCCAGCATCAGGGAGAAAGGAGAGAAATGATAAAATAGAGAAAGAGGAAAAAAAGACAGAGAAAAGTGCAAGGAAGAAGAGACAACACGTAAAATTATAGTCCCTTAATGTTTTGGGTCAGGTAAAAACAAAAGGGGTAGAATAGATGTAGTCATGTAAAAGGATATTGTAGGATAAATAGTATTCCTACTTATTCCTTTTCTAAGCCCTCAAACTGAGATTGTTTAGCATAAAACAAGGAAGAAAAAGAAGAGGAGTAGAAAAAGGTCAAACGAAAGTTTTGCAAGACTAGGTATGAGGCCAAAGAACAAGGCTAATAGTCCAATATTCTGAATACTACCCCATCTATTGTGTACTTTGTATTGTATCCCCTTGTCAAATGGTCACTATTAACTTCTATCACTGCCTATGTGAAAACAAAGGAAAGGAGTTCCAAATTCCACAAAAATTCCTTCTTTTTTTGGAAAAATAATTAGCTGTAACTTGAATGAAAAGTTTATTGAGAAAAAGTAGTGAAGGCTTGAGAGGACAAGTGCCAATGGTAGGATTCATTTCAACCACATAGTTCAAATAAGTATTTGAACTGAATATTTGAAATAGAAGAGATAATCAATATATTTTTTCAAGCAAAGAAAGTAAATGGAAATAAGAAATGAGGCATTTAAGAATCTTTTTTGGGCTAGGTTTTGATTTGTCATAAATTTGACTTATCACAAAATAAATACCCATAAACCAGTGACAGAGGAATACCTAGTACTAACATATGTATGTATTTTAATGGAGGATTTATGGAAGGACATAGATAAGAATCTCTGAGGACTCATCTTCCAATGAGTTTTCTAGTAGCCTTTTCCATCTCATCTTTTTCAACCTTCTCTTATGCTAACTAATGTCAGTTCAGGGAGAGAATGAATGGAATATTATTGTAGCACCTGTTTTTTTAAACTCCTTAAATCCATTCTATCACTTTTATTTTTATCCTCTTTCTCTAACTACTTTTTAGATGTTAATATTCTCCATGTATTTTTATATTTTGACCAATATATCCCATTTCTAGAACAACTGAGAAATGCAAGGAGATAATGGTAAAGACAGAATAGAATTAGGACATAAATAAGCTACATTATATGTTCAGACAAAGAAAGCTTCTGAAAGTATTGTTGTTCTAAACAGATGTTAAATTATTTTATTCAACAGGGGAATTTATAATGCATAATGAAAAGGCATCAAGCATCACAGGAAGCAAACAAGTAACATTTTATTACATCAGTGGAGTGCAATAAAAGACTCATTATTCAACAAGCCATTTGAAGTGGAATGAAACCAGATTTATGTTCCCTTTATGATTCATCAATATGTTTACAGGAGAAATTACAAGTATTTTATATAGTGGGACAAACTTTGCATAGTAACGTGCAAAATAAACATGACAGTCATGGCTTTGAACTCAGTGTCATTAACCTGTTATTTGGTGCAACCTAATGATGTATGAAAGTTCCCCAGGAGAGAATGCCATCTATCATCATTCCATGCAAAAATGTCCAGAGAAACATTGTAAAAATTGTCTGACAAAGACTCTGTGAACCAGCAAACATTTGCATATACTTACATCAGTGTCAGGTCCTTTATCTGCACCCGGACAAGAGAAAGTGACAAATTCATGGCACCTCTTGTGAACAACAAAACAGCAAACTGGTAGGGAGAAAATAAAACCACAATTAGAGAAAGTTCTCACTTGCTCAAACAAATTCAATTTGACTATAAATGTAATGCTTTAAAAAGCAATCACATGGCATTCATTCAAAGACTTATAGTATTCACTACTGAATTAAATATAGAGGCATCACTACCTTCAATAAATTTTAACCTTCAATGATTGTACATTGTTAGTCATAATCAAGTCCGGTAATATATCTAAGTCTTAGTTTCCTCACCAATTCAGAATAATAATAAATATAATACCTATATCTTGAATGGTTGTTTGGAGGCTGGAATTAGATAATATAACTTTGCAAAGTTTCAAGTGTGAGTTATCATCATAATCTCTATGTGTATGTATATACTCACACACATCTATGTGTATATACACACACATATACACATATATACATGTGGGTGTGTATGTACGTATGTATACACCTTGTAATAGGACAACTAGGTGGCTCACTGGATAGAGTGTTGGGCCTGGAATCACGAAGACCTCAGTTCAAATCTGGCCTCGGATACTTTCTAGCTATGTGACCCTGGGCTAGTCACTTAACCCTACTTCGTTCAGTTTTCTCATCTCTAAAATGAGCTGGAGAAGGAAATGGCAAACTCCAGTATCTTTGCCAAGAAAATCTCAAATGGGGTCATAGAGAGTAAGACACAACTGAAACAACTAAACAACAACAAAATGACACATATATATTACAAATAACACAGAATTATCCTCCTCATACTTAAGGAATTCATTCACCAATCCACCAATATAAAATGAAAGAATGTTATGTTCCATGCTATCTTCCAAAAGGCATCATGGCACAATAAATAGAAAGCTACACTTGGAGTAAGACAAGTTCAAACTCTGCTTCTGACACATTTTAAATGTGCGATGATATTACTTAACCTCTCAATGACCTATGCAACTTTCCAGGACTATAAGTTACACATGGATTATGGAATTTCAGTGGTGGGTGGGTGAGAGGAATCTCCACACTAAAAGTTCACAATACAGCTAGATTTTTTTTCTTTTAATTATACTTAACATCTTTGCAGAATCTCAAAGTTAGAAAGGACTTGATAGGTCACCTATTGTCAACGTCTTGTTCCAGATGGCTTGCTTCCACTGTGCCCTCTGGAATGCCTGTTGCATGGACAACAAATTTTCCTTCATTTTAAATCTATTCCTCTCCCACTCCTTCCGTCTACGAGCTCTCACTGAAACCTGACTGCCCCTTGATGACAAAACCCTGTGCACCGCCCCCTTCTCTCCTCCCATTGTCTTTCTAACAAACACTTACAATCTGGCTTCCAACCTTGTCATTTCACCATAACCCACCTCTCAAAAATTACTATTGATTTTAGTTGCTAAATCCAATCATATTTTCTCAATACTCATTCCTGGTTTTCCTTCTACTTATCTAACTGATCCTTCTCTGTCTCCTTTGCTGGATCCTCTTCCAGATCACACCCTTTAACTATGGGTATGGGATTCTGTCCTGGACCTTCTTATCTTCTCCCTCTACATTACTTCATTTGGTGAGATCATCAGCTCTCATGGATGAAATTACCATTTCTATGTTGATGATTCTCAAATCTACCTTTCCTGCCCCAATCTCTCTGCTGATGTCTCATCTTATATCTCCAACTGACTTTCAGACATTTTGAACTGAATGTCTATTAAACATCTCTAATTCATTATGTCCAAAACTGAACTCATTATCTTTTCCCCTAAACCCTCACCCATCCTGTACCTTCTCTATTTCTATAGAGGACAACACCATCCCACCTAGTGCCTAAAGCTCACAACCTGAAGTCAATATTATCTCTCACTGCCCACATCCAAGCTATTGCCAAGGCTCTAGATTTCACTTTGCAACATCTCTTGAGTACTTCCCCTTCTCTCCTCTGATATGGCCACCACTGTAATGAAGGCCCTCATCACCTCACACCTTGATTATTGCAATAGCTTCCTGGTAGGTCTACATGCCTCAAGTCTCTCCCTACTCCAATCTATCCTCCATTCAGCCACTAAGGAGATTTTCCTAAAGCACAGGTCTGATCATGTCACTTCCCTACTCAATAAACTCCAGTGGCTTCCTATTGCCACCAAGAACAAATACAAAATGCTCTTTTGGCATTCAAAGCCCTTCATAACTTAGACCCCTCCTACATTATCATTTTCTTAAACCATACTCTCTGACATATACTCATCCATCCAGTGACACTGCTTCCTAATGGTTCCATGAACAAATACTCCATCTCTCAGCTCTAGGCATTTTCTCTGGCTGTCCTTCATGCCTGGAACACTATCCCTTCTCTGCTCTGACTACTGACCTCTCTGGCTTCCTTTAAGTCCCAACTGAAATATCATCTTCTGCAGGATGCCTTGTCCAACCCCTCTTAACTCTAGTGACTTCCCTCTACTAATTGTTTCCTATTTACCCTGCAAATAGCTTTCTATGTGTGTGTGTGTGTACAAGCGCGCACACACACCCATACACATATTTATTTATTTATTTGCATATTGTCTCCCCCATTAAATTGTAAGCTCCATGAGGGCAGGGATTATCGTTTCTTTTTTTTTTATCTCCAGTGCTTAGTACAATGCCTGCGATATAATAGGCACTTAATAAATGCTTATTGATTGATTCCTTTACAAAGCATGACATAGCTAAAATCTGACCAACTCCAAAAATCATAAACACTTTGTGAGTTCAACAAACGTTGTTTTTATGTGCTAAAAGTGCTCAAGGAGACTACCAAATATCTGCTATACATTTGTTCAATCAACAAATATTTATGGGCTACCAAATTTCAAAATGTGAACAGAACATTTCATAAAATTACAGTCTACTCATTTGTGTTTGATATTGGCTGATTAAAGGCACAGCTACATGTCCTAGAAAGCACTGGGGCAAGGATCTACTTCAAAACCAAGTAACAGCTTTTTGCTATTAACAAATTATAAATGTCAGTAGGTGAAGAAGTCTGAAATCATAAGACTTTGAGCTAGAAAGGTGCTTTCAAAAACCTCTAATCCAACTTCCTGCAGATAAGAAAATTAAAGTGTTGAGAGTTTAAGTGACTTAACTAAGCATAACTTACTGCAAATTCAAAGCTTTTCCCACTATATCATACTGAGTTTCATCTTCTTCTGAATTCCTATAATACTTTTTTATACTATTCATGTGGTACTTATATTGGGATATAAAAGCAAGGAGCAGCAAAAGAAAGAGAATTGTAACAGACTGATATCAATAATGAGTGAATATTATGATTCAATTTTCTTAAATCCTAGTAAAAAATCTTCATCGAGATGACCAAAAAGCTTAAACGTAAGCAATTTAGATTTATAGTAGGAAAGCAATGATGGTTCAAAATTAGATAAATAATTAGCATAATTAAGCACATTCAAATAAAAGTACATGATTATACCAATGAATGCAGAAAAAGGCTTTAACAAAATGTAACACTTATTTAAACAAAAATCTTTTCAAAGCATAAAACTATATTCTGGACCTATACTGACTAGCATGTCTGGTAATTCCTTCTTGGGAATGGAATGAAATGAGATACTTACAGACCACCTAACAATTAACAAAAACTTTTCTTAACAATAGTATGGAAAAGATATTCAGCAGGGATATAACACTAATTCAGTTGGACATAGATGTCTGGCTTCCATGGTGTCACATCTTGGCCAAACTCCTTTAGTATTAGTTTTGTCAAGGTTTTGTTTTTTGTTATGCTGTTGTTGTTTTTTACTTGAATTACCCAAACATTATTTCAATGATTCAAGCCTTAGTCCCTTAAGTCAATTTGTTCTTAAGAATGGCTTTGTTGATTGATGGTGTCTGAATGCAGACTGAAGCATACTTTTTTTTTAACTTTATTTTTCTTGAGGGTTTTTTTTGTCTATGCTTTCTTTCACAACATGACTATTATGGAAGTGTTTCGCATGACTACACATGTATATATAAGAACAGTTTAAATAATTAGTTATATTAGGTGCTAATGGCTGGGCCAGGGCAATGTATTAAAAAAAATTATATTGCCTGAAATAATTTAAAGAATTAGTACTTTGTCAGATTAACAAGGGGTTACTTTATAGGTCTAGACAAAATAATTTAAAATGTATTTAGAAAAACAAAAAAATCTAGAATTTCAAAGGAAATGAAGAAAAACAAAAACATGTAGAACCTAGATTATACCATAGATCAATAACCATCATGTTTTGGGAGGAAGCAAGGTTTATGCAGGATTCTGAAGAAGGGGCTGACATTTAATAAGTAGTGAGGCATGGTAGAAGAGCTGTGGATTTGGAGTCAGGCCCTACCTTGGTTTCAATTTTACTTTGGGAATTTTAGCTACATGAGAGTGGACACAAAGTTGACACTTTATCACCCTCTTCTTGATACTCTCTTCTTTCTAGGGTTTTGTGACACCATTCTTTCCTCCTATGTGTCTGATCTCTACTCAATATCCTTTGCTGGATCTTCATCTAGGACATGGCAACTTACCATGGGCATCCCACTGGGCTCTGTCCAAGACCCTCTTCTCTTCTCCCTCTATACTATTTTACTTGGTGATCTCATCATTTCCCATGGATTCGATTATTATCACCTTGCTGATGATTCTAAATCTACTTATTTATCCCTAAATTCTGTTGACCTCCAGACACATCTTCCACTGCCCACTGGACATTTCAAAGTGGATGTCTTGTAGACATCTTAAACTCAATATGCCCAAAACTGAACTCAGTTTCTTTCTCCCCAAAACCTCCACCCTTCCAAACTTCCCTATTACTAATGTGGGCACCAGCATCACCCGAGTCCCACAGGCTAAAAACTTAAGTGTTATCTACAACTTCTCATTCTCACCACTCATGAGAGTTGCCAAGGCCTGTTCACTTCATCTTTGTAATCACTCTCATATATGCTCTCTCATCACCATAAACATGGACTACTGTAATAACCTTGTGGTTGGTC